GAAGAACGTACTCTCCAAAGTCTCCGGCGAAGCCAAGAGCCCAAGACAAAACCTAGATCTCAAAGAGAAAACTCAAATTCAAGATGAGGAGCCAATCCCCCCAAAACTCCTAATTATACGAATTAATCATAAAGGACAATAATGGACTTCCTAAAACAGCCTCCCATTCAAAAATTTTCCCTCCCCCATGCGTTTTAGCCGCTGTTTGGGCCCCCCGACTCGCGCTCCGCGCGTTCCGTCTGGTTCCGCCCGACGTTGGTCCGTCGGGTGTAGAACCGGACCGGTCCAGCTGGGACCGGTCCAGGCGTAACAGAATTCTACTGATAATATTCTCATTTATTTCACTATCACTTTGAAAAATAAATCCGAGATATCTAAAACATATACTCTTTTTAATAACTTGATCACCCAAAGTCACAATTCCACACTAGATCTATTAATACTAAAATTATACTCCATGTATTCGACTATGGATCTACTCAAATGAAAACATTTAGATTCTAAGGTTGAACTCCATGATTCAATTTTTTCTTCAACCTCCTAAGTCTGATTAACAAGAAGAATATCATCAGCAAAAAACATACATCATGGTACATCCTCTTACAAATGTGTAGTAAAAACATTCATAACTAAAGAAAAAAAGAGATGGGCTTAAAGATGATCCTTGATGTAATCAAACTCAAATAAAAAATACTCGATCAAACCACATTGTGTTTGAACACAAGTAATAGCTCTTGTATGTATATCCTTATTTGAATATAAGCATTATTAACTCCTTTCTTTTCTAGAACTCTCCAGAGAACTTCTCTTGTCATTTTATCATATGCTTTCTCCAAATAAATAAACATCATATGAAAATCCTCCTACTATATCTATACTTCCATCAAACTATCAACAAATGTATAGCTTCCAAAGTAGGCCTATCTGACATGAATCCAAATTGATTTTGAGAAATATAAGTATCACGGTAACCTATGCTCAATTACTGTCTCCCATAGTTTTAATGTATGACACATTAACTTTATTCCTTTATAATTCACATGCACTTGTGCATCACCTTTATTCTAAATAATAATAACCAACACACTCTTTTCCACTAATTTGAGATATTTTTAATCTTCAAAATAATATTAAAAAATTTAGCTAACAAAGAAATTTCTTCATCTCGTAAGCATTTTCACATCTCTATTGGAATATCATCAAGTCCAACTGCTTTTCCAAACATTATTTTTTTCAAAGTCTCTATAACTTTAATTTTACTAATTTGATGATAAAAACAAAATTCTCAATTTTCATTTAGGGTGTCAAGGCCACTAAAGTCAATCGTATTCTCGTACTCTTCATTAAAAAGTTTATCAAAATATCTCATCCACCTATGTGGAATATCATCTTTTAATAAAAGCATTTTTTTAATCTTTATCCTTTATGCACTTCATTTAAACTAGATCATAACTTCTCCTATCTTATAGCTTAGCTATTTATACATACATATTTTGCACGGCTTAGAATCTAATATATTATATAAATCATTAAAAGCTAAATTTTTTTGTAACGCATATTACTTTGTTAGACTCTTTATAGGCCCCTCCCCCAATTTTCTGAGTTTTTTTATTTTGATACTCCGATCACATATTTTGCATCATTCTTAATTATATTAGCTACATTTTTCACATAATATTAGATTCCTCGCCCACCATCAACACCTTGAGATCTTGAATTTTACTCGCAAAAATATTTTGTTAGCATTATTTAAATATCACCATCTAATCCTAGAAAAATATTTTATTTTATTTTTTATATTCCACCCCTTCATCTTAAAGTCCAAAACTAATAAGCGTTATTGCGTATATAAAATTTTATTTGAAATGACCTTATAATATTTGCAATCTTAACGATCTAATTTTTATATAAAAAAATAATCAATCTTAGTTTCCATATATCCATTCTTATAATTGATAAGATGTTAATCTCATTTTTTAAATAAAGTATTAGCAATTATAAAATCATAAGCTAGAGTAAAATCTAATATGATCCTACCACCTTCATTAGTATCTCATAACTCATAGCTATCGTGAATGCTTATAAAATCTTCTGCCAATCTACCAACATATCCATTTAAATTATTTCTAACAAAAACACTTACAACAAGAGGTCTCGTATTAATTATTCTAAGTTATTTCAAATTTTTAAATTGGAACACATCCAAACCTACTTGAGGAGTATAAACATTAATAATATTAATAATTTTAGCATCAATAACAATCTTTAAAACTATAATTTTAACTCCAATTTTATTAATTTCTATAATATTTTTCTTTTAACTCTTATTTATAATCACGCCTATACAATTTCTAGTATGTCTCCTACCTGAATATCATAGTTTAAATCCTAAACTATCAATTTTGTTAGCATTATCTCCAACCCATTTAGTTTTCCGCATGCATGAAATATTTATCTTCCTATGAATTATAATATATATTGATTCAATTTATTTGACTGTAAGAGAGTATATATTCCAAGTTTTTATCTTAATTATAGTTTCATGAACTAGCTTTTTTGCCCACATCCATCCATGATGCAGGAACCTTTAATTATTTACGCTACACCCAAATTCTAAATAATTCAAAATTTTACTATGCATTCATTTTACTTCAAACCAAACACCAATATTTCAAAACCCTTGTAATTGAAATTCTTTACTCCCATTTTACTTTAAACCAAATAACCCCTAATTATGTATATATAATATCAAACAATACTATTTCTAACTAATTATTTTGTTAGTGTCATGTAAAAATAAATCTTTATAATATTTTTAATTTGAAAATAATTTGTACTATATTTCTCATGGATAAGATTAACTAGCTTTAAAATTTCCTAAAGGCAAGGGGCTTAAGTTAGTAGAACAAAGTTAGAGTACAAGCTAAGAAATTTTAGTGAGCATAAAGTTTGTACTTAATGGGCAATAATATCATGATCAAATGATATCAAGGTGTATTAGAATAAGCACATATGATTTATTATATAGAAAAATAGGTTGTAAAAGATATTACTTCTTAAGATTGGGTGGTTAAAACATCAAAGTATGAATACTATCAAATAAGAAAATATCTTGAAGGTTTAAAAGGTAAATTTCATAAACAACAACAACAACAGGCCTTTATCCCACTATGTGGGGTTAGCTACATGAATCGTTTTTCTCCATTGTATCTTGTTAAGAGTAAAATTCTCATCTAAATCTAATAAAGAAAAGTCATTTCTAATATTTTCTAACCAAATTTTTTTTAGGTCTATAAATTTCATAAAATAACAATTAATTTGATTATAATACATTAATCCAAAGTGTTTTTTTTTTTATATATGAATCCAAAGTGCTTGAAGATAAAGAAATTACTAATAGCTATATGTGATAAGAATCAAAATGTTAAGATGAATATGTGATAAAACTAGAAATGATGGATTAAAAAAATGTAAGAAAAGATGAAGCAAAGGAAAATGCACTTATATGGATTGGATATGTATGTACAAGGAAGAGTAGTGCCAATAACAAGTATATAATATTTATATTGAGAAATTAGGAAGGAAAAGGGGTAAGCCTAAGATAACATTAAAATGGTGTACCATGGTTAAAAATTTGTAAATTAATTTGCGAAAAATAGAGCTAACACATCCTTCAAAACTTACATGTATTGAATGGAGAAACAGGACTCATAAAATTAACTCCAAATAATTATGATAAGATAAATGGTGATGATGACAATGATAATAATGAGTTATATAATACAATATCAATATTAAGTTGGTATATGAATTTTATATATATATATATATATATATATATATATATAATTTGTCTGGATTTAATTTAAACGTACCCTAAGGTTACATGCTCAAAATAGTTGCAACCTTGTAAATGTTTAAGCTGGAAAAACATCAACAAATTCATTATCAAGCAGCGGAGAAATGAGAATAACCAAAACAAAATTGTCCAAGACTGAAGTAATATGCTTCTTTTACTGAATTTCCCAATCAAATTACCACGTAAATGAAAGAAAGGTGAGAAAACTACTATATTGCACCATTTGTAACATACAAAGCTATGCTAAAACCTGCCTTTCCAAAGAAATGCAACCTTGGAACAACAAACAATAAGGAACACCAATGGATTATAATTTATGAGATAGTCATTGAAAGCAAAGGCCCAGATATCATCATACCTAGGACTTTCACCAAGTTTTATTATTTAGGGGAATGGGGCATTTAAAGCAATTCAAAATCCCAATAAAGCAGCAATAGGCATAAAGGAAAACTTTAGCCAAAACAATCCTTGAAGCAATAATGAGTTATTATAGTACTTGAAATTGCCAAACAATTAATGTAGAAAAAGGAAGGGTAGAACAATATAAATACAGAATCACAATAGTGGCACAAGCAAGAAATCTAACCATGTAAATGATCTTCCAGTGATCCCAAAGGCATGTATTCATAAACAAGCAAGCGTTGGTCCCCATCAGCACAGTAACCAATTAGATTGACAAGATTTTGGTGATGTAACAGGCTAAGCATGAGCACCTCCACCAAAAATTCTCTATTTCCTTGCAGACCATTCCTATCTAACTGTTTCACAGCCACAATCTATTAAAAATAACATTTCATCATTCTCTGACATGGAATCAGAAAAAATAAAACCCATATGGAAAATAACCACTAAATGAATAATAAAAGATGCAAGTGTAAAGAGCTTATGATATATAGTTCCAGTGCTATGAAAGAAATATGTCGGATGAATTCTAGAAGAAAAAACATTGTCACCTTATCGAACTCATTCACTAGGAGAAGATTTTAAACTTAAAAAAAAAATGAATAAATAAACTGATCTGCAATATTCTGCATCAATTCAGTGAATTTGAATTTTCTGCTCCAAAAAAAATGCTAATTCAATTAAAAACAGATTCATCAAACCAATTGGCACAATTAGACTAGAAATTGTTCTAACCTGTCCATTCTCCAAGCGGCCTTTATAAACCCGGCCAAAACCTCCTTCACCTAACAAGCACTCTGGTCTAAAATGCTTAGTAGCAGCAGCAAGCTCCCGGAAGGAAAATGTCTGAGCAGCAATATGTGCTGTGTTTCCTTCTTTGGGAACTAATGCTTCCTTCTTGGACTCTGAACCGTTACGTGACTTAGATTTATCTATAAAATCAATTAGAAATGAATAATAAATACATTAGAAAGTTGCTGGGGACAAACAAAACAAGGAAAAACAAAGATTCCTAGTAACATGGCACCAATTTGCAACAACAGATTACTTCGAATCATGACAGACTAGCATCCATAGAAAAGGACAAATCTGACAGATATCTTTCAAATTTTCCATTTAGCAGGTCAGTTTCAAAGAAGAAAAAAAAAATAGCACAGATAGATTGCTAATGAAACAGATTTTCTCATCAAATTGCATTCTTCCTAAACCACATAGAACAGCAGGGGAAGCATTTTCAACCACGAAAGTTCAACTTTGGAATATAAAAAAACCAATCAAATTGGACTTTTCCCAATCCAGCCTTAAAGCATGACTACTAAAAATACTAATTTGCCAACCATAGCAGAAGGCGTCAAGAGCTATTCACATGCAGAATCAAAAGAACTGTACATCAATAGGCAGCTTCAATCTTCAATTCCACCATCCTAAATTAAAATAGAATAAAAGCCTCTCATCACGAAACTTACATTCAAACTCCACACCGCTCCATCGATTTCTCTCAGACGCATAAGCCGTTAGATCGAGCAAAACCGAAGCGCAACAAACACCATAGACCAACCAAGCTAAACCCTAGCTAAAATATTCGTTTTTACCCAAATTACGAGGAGAAAAACGATTACCCGAGTTAACCCTCATCACTTGGCTCGTTGACAGCGCCGATGCGGCCTCGTTCCTAAACCCCCCTTTCCCCCCTTCCACATCCACCTTCTTATCCCGTCTGTTCTCCGAAGATCCGAAGCACGGAAAGCAACCCATTCAGGAATGCGAGAAGAAAAGCCAGAAAAAAGCACTATTTCCGTCTCCCCGTGGATCACAGACGCGAACTCATCTACAGGGATGAAAAAAACTTCCACGCAGACCCCATCGAAGTAAAACCAACCGGATATCCTAATTTGATACCGGAATTGATGGCGGGATCAATTTAGCTCTTTTTTTACGAATTAATGATACAGAGAGCCCAGAGGCGCAGGGCAGCCAAGAAGAAGAACGGGGAAATCTACGGAACTGTGCCACTAAAGCTGATTTTTTGCAGATTAATCACGGGTCTGGCTACTGTAATTAGCTACTGTACTACCCGTTCTGGAAGCTAAAAAAATATAATTTAAAGCCAATGATATCCGTTTACGCTGTCTTCGAAGGCGGATGGATGTTCTTGACGACCTTGATGAAAACGTGGTCTTAATCCTGTAATTATTATTATTATTAAAATAAGAATCAAATTTTGATAACCAAATATTTGACTTTAGTTCTTTTTTAATTCTTATTTAATTACATGTTAATAGACTAAAAAATAATTAAAAATACTAATTAATTAATAATATTAGAGATAAAATGAGAAATGAGTATATATGTGAACAATTGGAGTAGCTACAATGGAAGATAAGATTAGAGAGTCGTCTTAGATTTTCTGGTCATATAAAGTGTTGGTCTTCCAATGAACCAGCTAAGAGAGTCGATATATTAGATCGGGCTAAGGGTGTCAAAATGGATTTTCGAATCAAACTTGGGTTCAACTCAAAATTGATTTGCCTTCAATTGATCCAACTTGAACTCAACCCGATTGGACAAACGAGTTAGAAATTTAGATCTAAACCTGGCCTGACAGGCCTTAACCTAGGTTGACCAAACGATTGGCACATGTTAGAACAATTGGAGATTTTGGTGCTGTTACATGTTTATTTTGCAAACTGATTGCATTAATATTTTTTAAATAAAATGATTTATTTTATGAATATTATTTATAATTTTTAAAATCCAAAATAATTTATATGAAATTTTATACTAAAATTGATTAAACTAAATAATTGTATTGTTATTATATTATTATTTATTATAAAATATCTTAAACCATTATAAACTTTACTTTTTATCCAAGATGCATTCGGATACAGAGAAATGGTTTGACATCGGTTTAATTATATTATTATTTATTACGTCATCCGGTTCGACCCCGGTTCAACCGGTCGAACCGGTTAAACCATGAACCTTTGTTCAGTTCGTTGTCCGGTCCGGTTTTCATAACCTTGATGATATCACAAACTCGAACCCAACCAGGTATATCAATCGGGTCCAAAAATTCAACTCAAACATGACCTGTTTGTTAAACAGGTTGACCCGAACCTAAAATTTTAATATCGAGTTTTTAAGTTGTGTCATATATTAACACCCCTAAGTTTGGTTTATATTAAACATGATAGAGGTAGATCTAAAAAGATTTGGTTAAAAAGTATTAGAAATAACTTTTTTATTATGTTTAAATGAGAATTTGACTCTACATAAAACACTATGGAGAAAAATGATTCATGTAGCGACCTTACATGGTGGGATAAAGGCTTGTTGTTGCTGTTATACAAATTAATTGATAATTTTATATTTTATATTAAAAAATATGAAATTGAATTAATAGGCTTATATTTTATTATTATTTTGAATAAAATACTATTAATATTTTAATAATGATCTTCCATTATATACATATAATAACAATAGCAATATAACCTTTTATATCACTATATTGGGTCAAAATGAATCTTTTTTCTCCATTGTGTTCTATTAAGAGTCAAATTCTCATTTAAATTTAATGAAAAAGATCATTTCTAATACCTTATAACCAACTCTCTTTAGATCTACCTCTACTTTTTTAATATAGTTCATATCTAATATATCTACTCTCCTAATTAGGTATGCCTTCAGACTATAACATTGAAAAATATTGGTCAAGTTGTTGGAACTCGCCAATAACTATATAAATATGATAGAATACAATACTGTGGTTGAGTCTTCTTTGGCCACTTACCCAAATAAAATTCTAGTAAGGCATGAGAGGCCCAAAAATTGTAAGCATGGTAGGAGCCTCTTGAGGGTTAAAAGTTTGGAAAGAAGGCAATATGTGTAGTAGGATCAATTCCATCATAGCTAATATAGTGCCCCTTTACTAGCGAGATAGTTGAGAATCATGAGATGGCATGCCTTGCAAATTGAGAAAGCATGACACACAACTCACTCATATAGAGAGCACTAAGCTCACCCCACTCACTAATATCTAACATCACTTTCTTATGTGTGTCCATGGCTGAATTGGTGGAGAATATTCATAATAAGAAGTTCTTCAAATGCCCATCACCAATAATGATGGGCACCCCCACTTCAGTAACATATAAAAATTTTATGTGGTCATTGAGGATTATGTGTATGGTAAGGAGGAATGCATTCATCTATGAACCATCATAGAAGATTTAATAAAAGTAGGAATGTTGAAAGAATTCATGCTAGCAGACCTCGAGCAAGAAATGTGCTTACAAAAACAAAACAAGGGAAATGAGTCAATTCTAGCTCATGCCATCCACATAATTGGAGCACTACCTGCAATCCTCAAAGTGGATGGAACCGAGACATATATGTGTAGCAGAGGTGGTGAGTCTTAAGTGACATCATTTATGAGAAGTTAACTGTGGGGCCAATTATGAAGACTATTGAGGCATTTGAGATGTCCCACTAGCGAAATACAACAAATGGAAACTGATTAATAAGCTCTTCTTTTAGCCAAAAAGATTGAGATAAACTCACTTAGGCTCTCAGGGACTGCAATCAAAATGCTAGGGATAAAAGTTAAAATTGCCTTTCATAGATTGAATGTCAAGGAGGCCTAACCAATCAAATGAAAATTAAGGAAGACCATAACAATCCTAGTTGACCCAAATAAATATAAAGTCCAAAAATTCCAAAATGTTAGCTTCATCAAGAAAGTGTAGTACCTATATTATATCTCCAATATGGTAATAATATGAAAGCCAAGTGGGAAATGGAGGATGAAATAGCCTCTATTTTATTTTTCTTAATTTTTTTAAAAAATTTCTATGGGAGCACTGTAGCGTTGGGAAGGGTGGCGCCCCGACGGTGAGCTTACTAGATTTTGGAAAATCAATTGGTCATAGCGGCGCTAGTTTTGGGTGCAACAATGCTAGCTCTCAAACTTTATTTTTTAATTAAAAAAATATAAATTCATTTTCTAAAGCACTTAACCTAACCATCTCTCCCTCATTTCATGCTTGGCATCGAGAGAAAGAAGAGAGGAAGGGGAGAGACGAAGAGAGGGAGAGAGGAGAGAGGAGAGAGGAGAGAGAAAATTCATTATGAATCATTTTTATCCATCACTCCAATTAGAAAAAGTATTCTGATCGTAGCATGTAACACAAATTCTATTTCTAATTTTAATGATTTTTATTTCTCAAATTTTATTTCTTCTAAAAGTGATTAAAATATAATATCTCTTATTTTAATAATTTTTCATCAAGTAACTTTAGATATGTGGTAGATATCTTCCTCCTGAGCATTTTAACTTGTTAATATTAAAATTTCACTAGGTGGTTTAGGTTATATATCATTTTAAGTAAAATGGGTAGTATAATATTATTTATAAAATTATTAGACAAAGTATAATGAATTTAGATTTAGAATATCCAACATGTATGCATTTATTATTCATTTAGGTCAACATGCATTTTTAGCATATTATATACATACTAATGAGTGTACTGAAATTATATGGAGTATATATTAAAAATCCTATTATGCTTCATATGATGTGACAAGTATGAAAAAGGAAAAAAAAGGTTGGCTGAAAATGATTGACTCATTAAGGTTAGCTCGAGATATGTTACCATGTACATAAGGAAGGGTAGAAGGACTTTCCTTTAAATAAAATTTGTGGTATAATCCTAATTGATATAAAAATGGAGGTATAAAGAGACTGGTTGAAATGATATGATACACTAATGGGCAGTGACTGATAATTTATTATATGAAAGTCATCTGATTAGCCTGTGACATGTGATATGAGACTGATTCCTTGAAACATGATTGATATAATTGAGATTGATTCATATAGGGTTGGCCTACATAATTAGACATAAGAAAAATATCACAAGTAATTAGATGTTCTATCTTGCTTGCATTAATTATATTTATTGCATATGCACATAATAGGAACATAAAGATAGAATTCATATATTATATGACATGACATGATTTATAGATGATATATGACATGACTGATACATGTATATGATATAACTAATGAGATTGATATACATACATATGATGCATGCACGGATCACTATGATTATGAACTATATGGTTTACATTATACACTAGTATATGATATATATAGGACATACTCCATTGCCATTGGATATACTGTATTGGATATAAGACATCATATGCTTGAATATACATGGACACTGTATGACATGAATATGATAATGGCTGGTGTACGAATTTCCTGAATTGATATATAAACTAAACTATTTTTTAACTAATATGTATAATAATGATAGAACCTATTGGTTCTTTATATGGTTGTTGATCACTGCTAATAATATATATAGTTGAACTAAAATTTATTACTCATATGACATAATACTATTCATATTGATTTCTACATATTATTACATTTACATATTTACACCATTCTATATTAAATGATTATATGCATATTATTCATATTGAATTGCATTAATTTCAATTATAGGTTTTGATAACATACTTAGCTGTTAGCTTACTCTATGGTTTTACATATTTTTTAAGGACTCAAAATCTAGTGCAGTGAGGCAGATTAGGCTTCATGTTTTATTTTGCCTTTTTATTTTGTATTTTTTTTTAATTTTATAGTTAAAACCTAAAAGATTTTTATTTTTATCGGCGTATAAGTAAAACCGAAGTTAGAGAAGCCTTAAAGAAAATGGAGTGTGGAAAAGCTGTTGGACCTGATGATATTCCAATTAAGATGTGGAAATGCTTAGGAGGAAGGAATTTCTTGGCTTACTAAACTTTATAATACTATTTTGAAGACTAAAAAGATGCTAGATCAGTGGAGAATGAGTGTGTTAATTCCTATTTTTAAGAATAAAGGTGATGCATAGGAGTGCGAATTATAGAGGAATTAAGTTAATGTGTCATACTTTAAAACTATGGGAGCGAGTTATGGAGCAGAGGTTGAGGCGTGATACTAATGTTTCTCAAAATCAATTTGGATTCATGCAGGGTAGGTCTACTATGGAATCCATACATTTATTGAGAGGTTTGATGGAGAAATATAGAGTGAATAAGGAGGATCTACATATGATATTTATTGATTTAGAGAAAGCATAT